TCGGATCTTGTCTGCCTGTTTGGAGCCTGGATGAATTCATGTTTTCTTTTCATAATGTTAGGATTTTACCTCTGTGGCCATTCGGCCTATACCACCCAGGAATTAGATTTCACATTGTCCAGGTGAAGAGCATACCTGTTCCAGAAGTAGTGTGGACCCCACTAGTTATACTGTTACTATATCTCATTCTCGCACACCTATTTTTAACGCAGATGCTTTCTGTGTGGATTGTGCCCTCCAACTTGTCAATGTGGGATTCTAGCTATAGTGTCAACGGCGGTGAGTGTGTTTCCAAAGTTGATATTTTTCTATACCGAAAATATATTTCCGATAATACTTACCTCTTCTCAAACTCTTTTGTCCTTCCTCCATATGAAATGGCTGATATTCAGGTCTGCTAATTTAAACCGTCTTGAAAACTTGAATAGGAAGTAATAATGGGGAGCTTATATACGTATCTGGGATAAGGGGAGCATTGACGTAGGTGGAAAGAATCACTAGATTTAACTTGCTATGGGCAATATATTGGGGTATAAAGGCTGGAGCATGCGAGGTAAGATTCATACCAATGCTTAGATTGGCAGAGAAGAGAAACTTTTGTTGGGTTAAACCAATAGTGTGAGGAGAGGTAAGTATTATTGGAAATACATTTTCAGTATATGAAAATGGTAATTTCAAAAGGTAATGTGGAATACAACAGTGAAGTCATAACAAAATAAAGTTCTTACAATCTATATCTAAATGTTATAGGTACAACTGAAATTCTTGCAACCTAGTATGACAAATTGGGCAGTACAGTTGACAATTGAACCTCTGTATGATTGAATTTGATTGGTTACTGTTCATGAATTGTTTTTCTTAACACTCTCAAATGTATTATCTATATATGTACAAATGATATTGTTTCAACCAACTATGCTGATTTGGGCAGTGCATAATAATTATCTTTAATACACAGTTGCCAATTAAACCTATTTAGAATAAATGTCATTGTATGTTTTTTCCTAAACTTTCAAATATATTATCTAAGTAAAACGTTATTTGTACTTATCAGTACTGATGGTTAAATTTAAGAGAATTATTTTCTTATGTTATAGGTGTAACATACTAAAATATTTAATTGGACTCTCAAGAAACTCAAGCCAGCTAAGGATTCTGTATATACATGTTTTTGTGTTTTTTTTATTCTCTAATCAATCATGTAGATTCAGTGGTTAAGTATAAAACTTTACACACAGACAGTTGACCATTAACACCATTAATAATATTTTATTGTCTGTGTGATGACAAATAAATTACACTTTTTTTTTAACCAGGAACAGATATAGGAAATTGTACATGCTTTGAATTTGTAATGAATAGATGTTTGTGGAGGGAAAAATAATCATTTACCAGAAGTGTAAAATCCAGGGTGGTCACCAGTTGTGTGTAATCAAAGTATTAATATTGCTTATTTTAAAAGAGTATTATTTTAACATATTCAATTATTGAGTGGGTTCTTTTGGATTATTTTATAAAAACATGGCCAAATCTAGTTCACATAATGACAACAAATTTGTTTATTTCTTCCTTAAATTTGACTATAGGCCACTTTCACACAATTGTAAGTCTAAGTTCACAACTTTTGTTTCCACATTCATCACCATTTCTTTACTAAACAACTGATTTACTTAATAAGACTACAAACACTGAATATATACCTGATCACTCATTAACTTCTCTGAATTCCTTTTCGCTACTTAAATGAATACTGCACCCTACTCAAAATCACTGAATGAACTGAAAGTAACTGACTCAATACTATGCTGATTCTTATATTTATGAGGTATACTTGTTTCTAGATATTTTGCAAAGTCTCTTGATCGTTAACATTCACAAACATTCTAGGGATTCTAGAGCTACTTTTATAAACTATAAATCTAGTGCCATCATCATCATATTAGCAGCTTCCTCTAGCAAACAATTAAATTAAAACATTGAAAATTTAGCTTACAAGAGTATCATTAGTACAAAGTGGTGCAAACTCATCATAAATACATAAAGTATATGCAAAAAATAGCTAAAATGGACGTGTCAGAAAAACATGAGAATGAATAAAAGAACGTCTTAATGCTTTAGCTTTCAAAATTTTGTGAAAAATTATAAAATCAAATGAGTTTGTGGTAAAACTGTTATATCAATTAAGAATGTGACCATCATGGTAATATGCAACATTGAGTGCAGTTTGGTTAGGGAGGGAAGAATGCCAACCTAAAAACTTCTTACTAACAAATGGTCATATATAGTATATAATGTTAATTTTTGTCTAACAGATAGTGAAAGAAATGAAATTTAGAGGTTTCAAACTAGAAGTGTTTAGGTTATAACTGGTGCTCATTAATTTTGGCTGTTAAAATAATCTGTTCAAAAGAGGCCTAAATCACGGAAGAGCAAACATTAAACATTAAAAGTCAGACATTTTATTGGATGTTTTAGGATTGACTGTTGTAGATGAATGTTACTTGTTGGTGTGAATATAACATAAAAAGAATTGCTAGTGTGAATAATTTTTCCTTTTCTTTTTCTGCAGCTTGTATGAGCAAAAAGAGGCACAAAGATCGGTGACCCAACAAAATATGACAATTGAATGGTTGGAAAAATAAGTGCAATGTTTAAAAATTAGTACACAAAATGTAGCAGTGTTACATCAGGACTTTGTGTTATTTATCATAAAACATACAGTAGAAAAGGTTTTTCACTCTGAAGTATTGATCTATGAAGGATTTAGATTGGGGTGATCCCCTCCTTCTCATGGCCTGGTGCTCAATTCTCCAACTACACCTGTCTTATGTAAAGTTAAATTTACCATGCTTCAATACACTCCAGTAGATGCATTATGGCATTACACTTGCTGATAAGCAAGAAACTTCAAAATATTGTGTTGATATTGCTAAAATGAAATATGCAAAAAACATAAAGAAGAACATGTTTCCATTGCTAAAAACTTCAAGTCTCTGATCCACAAGGGGGTTCTTACCCTTAATCCCACCCTCAGATCCACAGCCTTTCTTGGATATTTGTCACATCTTCTCTTTTCTAAAATCTTGGATCTGCCACTGTGACTATCAGTTTTCTAGAATGCATTGTGTAACTTGCAACATCGACCAATTTAGTCTTTGCAGTTAACTTAAAATAATGGAGCCTGAAAGCTGACCCAACTATAATACTTTTTTAGTAGTATGTGTGTGATTGTTATAAAGTAGAGATAGCATTGTTTGTCTGTAAGTTTTTGAGACACTATTATGGAGAATTAGGCAACATTTGAAGTAATTGTCCAAGCTAAAAAAGTAGCAATTCTTCTGTAAAACTGAAGTTTAGTGGGGGGAAAAATTATGTAATTCTGATATAAAGTAAACCAATTTCACTTTCCTATGAGTTAAAAAAAAGTAATTTCTAAGCAGTCAACATTGCTTGAAACTGTTTACTGACCAAGATTTTGCTTTTAGACATAAGAGATTACATCAAATATCTCGCTGATCTTGGGCTACCAAGCACTAGGAAAAGTCTAAGCTGGCTGATATTTATTATTTTCATAATTGTGCCCCTTAATACAATCATGGAATTAACATGTTAATTATTTATTTGATGTATCTATTCCACATTGTATTTAGTTTTGTTCATTTTTATACTATTCACTTTTGAATATTTTCAAAAGCTTTTACTGGTTAAAAAAAAATCTTAGCATAACATACACCACCATGTAATGTAGATATTCATGTATTTTATAGGTTGCTGTTTTCCTGTTGGTGAAATGGTGAACAATTTTATTTTTAAGCCTAATAATTTTATTTTGTTCTTGAGACATTTGTATGTTTGGAAACACTTCAAATGGATAAACCACATGAAGGTGACACCTAGATAATAAGTATAAAAACAAAGCCTCACATCATTTACACTTGTCAGTATAGTGCCAAATTACAGATCTAACATTATTTTCTTTTGTTAGTAAAATGTCAAATTGCAGGTCTAATATAATTTTCTTTTGTCAGTATAGTGCCAAATTACAGGCCTAACATAATTTTCTCTTGTCAGTATAGTGCCAGACCACACTTTACATCATTTTCTCTTGTTACTACAGTGCCAAATTGTAGGTCTAATATCACTTTCTGTTGTCAGTTTAGTGCCAAATTACATGCGTAACTTCATTTTCTCTTGACAGTATAATGCCAAATTGCAGGCCTAACACAACTTGCACTTCTCAGTATATTACCAAATTGCAGGTTTAATATCATATGCACTTGTGTAGAAATAGATTTCTGTCATTTTTAAACTCATTCTGTTTTAACTATTTTGAAATAATGTAAGTTCTTCACTTTGAATAAATAAAATGCAAATTGTGATTATACCTTGAACAGACAAAGACAAAATGGGCAGCAACTGCTTAGATCAGAGTGACACTTGGTTTTAGTCCTCCAAGACGTTTTACTCTCACCTCCAGAGGGTCAGTGTGTTTCCACGTGTGTATCTCAAACTAATAGACCAATGTATAAAAAAATTTTACACAAGAAGAGAAGTCAGTATGGGGCAGCCCTCCCCAAATTTTTCTGGACCCAAATCCAGATTCAGTTTTTTGATCACTTTGAAGTATGTTTTATAATGAGGAAATAAGGCAGATTTGCAGTTTTGGGTTAATAATTCTGTAAAGTGTGATAATATTTGTACGAAATTTCATGGGCACACTAAGGTTGAGATTCCTCATCACACTACAAAAAATGATCTGGGTTGTTGATCATTCTGGATCTGAGAAGGATTTCCTGAGATTTTGAAGGGGAAATTTGATGTTATCCAACATAAATACATGCAGTCTCGAAAAGGAGAGCCTGGACAAGGGTATACAATTTCTCTAATTGCTCTTGTTCTAGAAGTGTCATTCTGAAGTAAACAGCTGCTATTCATTTTATCTATCTTTATCATAAATATTCTGCCTAAGTCATCCATAAAGGTTATTATATCTCTTCTAGCTAAGCCTTCCAGGAAACGTAAAAAGAAAACAGCTCAGAAAAATCAAAAGGATTTACTTCAGGATTTGACAGCAGCCACAAAACAAAAATGCTTTCTTAATATGAAACCTGAAAGTTCGAGTTCATCATCTGATGACTGTGTATCTACAGTAAACACGTTGTCATCTTTGGTTGATAAACCTTCCAATCAGGAGAAAGTCAATGATGTCCCTAAGGTGGTTTTGTTGCCTGCCAGTCAGGTACAAGAGGACTTTCTATCCGTGAGACATGGTGAAAACCTTAAAGACAAAAATGAACATTTAAGCTTTGAATCAAAAAGCACTAATTTAAAACTGAAAAGTTTACCAAAGAGACAGGAAGAAAAGTCTGAAGAATATGAGTATCATAATGTTTGCAAAGAAGCCTCCACAGATTCTTTTACTTACGTTGAAAATACTGACAAGTTGATGGCATTTCCCTCAGCAGATGTTTTGTTACTTGAAGATGGAACCTCTGAAATTCCTTGTAAACGTTTAAAAGTTGAGTCTTTCATTGAAGATGAGATCTCTGAAATTCCTTGTGACAGTGTAAAAGTCGAGTCTTCCACTGAAGGTGAAATCTGTGAAATTCCTTGTAGAAGTTTAAAAGTTGAGACTGTCTCTGAAGATGAAATCTGTGAAATTCCTTGTAAAAATTTAAAAGTTGAGACTCTCACAGAAGAAGAACCTTCTGAAATTTCTTGTAAAAATTTAAAAGTTGAGTCTCTCTCTGAAGATGAAATCTGTGAAATTCCTTGTAAAATTTTAAAAGTTGAGACACTCACTGAAGAAGAACCCTCAGAAATCCCTTGTAAAATTTTAAAGGTTGAGACTCTCACTGATCCAACAGCTGTTGAACTTTGGTGTGATCCACCTGAAGAAGTTAAAGAGGATACAGTTTTAAGATCAACTTTTACAGAAACAACACATCATCATTCTAAAGATCAAAAATTTAATATGGGGGTGGCAAATGATGATTCTATGGTTACCAAAGGCCTAAACATAAAATCTTCAACCCAGGAATGGACTAAGGTAGTATCCTGTGATGGAAAAACCCAACCTCATCTCCCATCTGAATGTCTAAATTCAGTAACATTTATGGATAATCCTTTAGAAGGTTTGGGTGCAGAAGTTGTGTTGATAACTAACAATGATAATACAAATATAGGTAAAACTGATCAATTACAGACAAAGACTGCTACTTGTGTTGACTCGCATGGAGATGGAATACCCTCTCTTATGATGTCCTTTCCTCCAGAAACCATACCATTGAACAGACTCCATGCAGTGGAAGAGAGTCAGAATACTGGTGAAGTGGGTGAAAGAAGTTCATATGTGGAAGTTAAAAAGGAAACTAGGACAAGACATCAGGCAGACAGAGTTTATAATAAAGATTGGCAAGGTCACTCACTAATTAATGATCACAGTTACACCAAAACTTCAATAAGAACACTTTTACCAACCCTAGACTCTAGCACTAGTACAAGTTCAAAAGATTCAACCAATACCGAGGCTTCTCCTTTTATGAAGGTTGTCACTCAAGATGGAAAGGTTATTGTTGTTTTTCAACATGATGCTTCTGCGAAACAGACTGACCTAACCTCATTAATGCCTTTGATAGGGAAAGGACAAATTATATCTTCAGAACAGCCTGTAATCACAAATGTAAATGCTGTAAAAGCTGAACATGATCACTGGAAGCAACCTACCACATGTAAACCATTACGTACTGAAGACACCTCAGCCTCTCACTTGACTCCAGAAGTTCCTGTTTCCCAGATGAAATGTTCATCAGGTACTGAAAGAGATGAAGAAAAAAGCAAAGATCTAAAAACCAAAGACTTTTTGATCTTAAATAAAGAAATATACGTTAATTTTAGAAACTCTTTAGTGAAAGTAGAAACAAACAGTGGAGAACCAGACACTGAAGAAGTCACAACCACACCAGACATTGATGCTTTTCTTGATTTGTGGAAGAACTCTCCAGAGCCAAGACCTCAACGAATCAAGAAAAGGAAGTTCAAGGTGAAAATTACTGCTTTCTTAACTCACTCTATTTATAAACCAAATAATAACCGAGTCTACATCTGATGGTACTTTAGTAATTTATATATATTTTCAGCAGTGTTGGTGGCCATATGTGTAAGTCCTAATTCATTACATTTAAATGCAGTTTTTCTTTCATTTTTATAATTTCTTTCTTCATTAGTTGATGTGATTAAAAGTTTTTGACACAGCAGTTAGTTAGAACTTTTACTTTCAGATAATGAAAAAGAAGATTTTTTCTTCTGTTAATCTACAGAAAATTGTGAGACAGGTAAAATTTTCAGGAAATTAAAAAAGTTAATTTGATACCCATTAAAAATAATTGTTATACTGAATTATAAGTAAATTTGGTTTGAATTGATCATAAATGTAGAACAGCATTTCTTATGTACTTGTCAAGCATTTGGTTATAATATTTAGTTTGAATAAAAGAACATGGACTGTGTTATTTTAACTCCTGTAAAAGTTTTGATTATAAAATGAATTTTTGTTATTGATTTTATTAAGTAGTAGGGTATGATCACAGTTTATCCATGCCCCCAAAAATTTTTTAACATATTTATGGATTTAACCTTATCTGTTTTTTGGATCAATATTTATTAAGCATAGTTATAGTTCTCATTAGGATCTTAAAAACTGAAACGTGAATTTAAGTCATGTCTGTACAGAAGCTGTTGCTGAAATTTGGGGAAAGTATGGTCAGAAATCAACAAGTCAGGGGTAAGTATGGTCAGAAATCAACAAGTCAGGGGAAAGTGTGGTTTGAAATCAACAAGTCAGGGGAAAGTATGGTCAGAAATCAACAAGTCAGGGGAAGTATGGTCAGAAATCAATAAGTCAGGGAAAAGTATGGTCAGAAATCAACAAGTCAGGGGAAGTATGGTCAGAAATCTATAAGTCAGGGGAAAGTATGGTCAGAAATCAACAAGTCAGGGGAAGTATGGTCAGAAATCAACAAGTCAGGGAAAAGTATGGTCAGAAATCAACAAGTCAGGGGAAGTATGGTCAGAAATCAACAAGTCAGGGGAAAGTATGGTCAGAAATCAACAAGTCAGGGGAAAGTATGGTCAGAAATCAACAAGTCAGGGGAAGTATGGTTAGAAATCAACAAGTCAGGGGAAGTATGGTTAGAAATCAACAACGTAGGGGAAAGTATGGTCAGAAATCAACAAGTCAGGGAAGTATGGTTAGAAAGCAACAAGTCAGGGGGAAGTATGGTTAGAAAGCAACAAGTCAGGGGAAGTATGGTTAGAAAGCAACAACTCAGGGGAAAGTATGGTCAGAAATCAACAAGTCAGGGGAAAGTATGATCAGAAATCAACAAGTCAGGGGGAAGTATTATCAGAAATCAACAAGTCAGGGGGAAGTATGGTTAGAAATCAACAAGTCAGGGGGAAGTATGGTTAGAAATCAACAAGTCAGGGGAAGTATGGTTAGAAATCAACAAGTCAGGGGAAGTATGGTCAGAAATCAACAAGTCAGGGGAAAGTATGGTCAGAAATCAACAAGTCATTTTAGCATTTTGGCAGACATTTTATAATGTACAGAACAAAAATCTTTATTAATATTAAATGAAAATTCAGAAACATGGCTTACCTCTCTGCGTCACTAAGAGCTTTTACATTGCATGAAACTGCTGAAATTTCCTGCACAAGCCTTGAAGAAACTCCCACCTCTATACATGTACTATGCCAGGTTATCTCTCCATTGTTATTTCTTTAGCTCACTTAATAAAGCACACTCTTATAGATGTCAGGTCTTAGATTTCACTCCAAGGCGAGGTATTTTAGACGTGGATAACTTAGATTCCACAACCTCAGTGTGCTGTGATGAACCATGGTATACCAACAAGTTAACAGGTTATGTTCCTACTTTCATGTATCAGATGGTTGGTTCCCTTCTGCCTATTTCTTCTCCAATTCAGGTCCCTCATCATTTCATTTCTTTTCCTTCAGTGTAACTTGCTTCTCCTGTGAATAATTCTGACCAGCTCTTCAACCTCCAGACTTTGTTTCTTTCCCCGATTAAGATCAGATATTTCCTTTTTTTCTCGTGAATTATGTATGTGATATTCTTTTTTTTACTTGTATATCATAATGGCTCTTTGGTTGTTTTATTTCATATGCCTCCAAACTCTGTGTTATACCACATTTTTCTTGTTCTTCTCGTCTTTGCAATTTCTTGACCCTTTTATATTTCTTGATCTCCAATCTCTATTATTTCTGCTTTGGGTGCTCCTCCTCCTACTTTCTCTTTCTTTCCAGTTTTATGTTTGTTTTTTGTATATTTTTATCCTACTTCTTTATTCTATCTCTGCTCCTCGCCTCCACACTGAGAATCTTCATTACAACTCCAGTAGTTTTAGTAGAGACACCTATTATCATTTGCTTCCAGTCCTGATCTTTGGGGGTGTTCCTGACTCATTGGAATTGTGGGCTTAGGCTGCTTGCTTCCTATCTTCAATTGCTTCCTTGATTTTCTTTCTTGCTGGTCAATGGGTACCTCTGTCTGCCACCCATCCTCTCCTGTCCTTTGTTGTTTGTTTCTTTTTGTAATTCCCCCCTCTCACCTAGCTAGCAGTCGCTGCTCTCGACAGTGAGTCTTCTTTGGAACTGATTCTGGGCTCTGGTCCCATCAGTGCCCATCTTTCCCACTTTACCCTCCTTTTTCAGTAACCTTGGGGTTTGCATATTCTTTCTCATGGTATCTCTCTCCTCATTCATATTCTACCTCTTCCTTCTCATCATCCTCTTTCCTATCCTCTTCCAACCAATCTTCTGCACCTTCATCATCTTCAGAATATGATGTCCTCTTTGTTGTTAGCAGGTACTATAGAACCTTTCTCCCACCCCACTCAGGGCTTTTATTCACATCTTTTTTTCATACCCATGAAGTCAAGGGTTTGGTGCTCTGTCATTGACTTATTGTCTCTGAACCATTTTCTTGTTTTTCCTTGATTTCCGATAGACACCTGTACTAATCTGTGTTGGGCACTCTCTCCCAGACTGAGTTTAACTAAGGTAGATATTTGAAATGCCTTCCTTCACATTCCCATTGTCATGTGTTGAATCATACCTCTGATTTGTCTTCAATGGTAATGTCCCTCAGTTTCATGCCTTCCCTTTGACCTAGCTATTACCCCTTATGTTTTCAGCTGGATCATGCATTACTTGGTTCTGTGTATCTCCTTGGCTTTCATTTTCATTATTATATGGTTTTCTGGCTTATCCTGATCCTGGCTCAACAATAATTAGCAATTGCTACCACCACTCTTCTTCAGAATGCCTCTCACTTGGGCTGACTTTCCTAGTCTGTTTCAAGTTTTCCTTAAATACCAAACATGGTGGACTCAACTCTCCCTTCTCTCTCTTGCGTATTTATGTCATGAAGATTTTGGTATCCAAGGCACTTCTCTCTCACATCTGGGGACTCTTGTTGCCTAGGATCCTTGATTCCTCTCTGTCATGCACACAAGTCTTCCCTAGAATGGACTCTGAAGGATCATTATAATATGTCTTGCATTCTTTTATCTACCATTATGTTTCTGTCTTCCTCTTTACATCCTTCTGTTATGGTAGGTTAAATTGTTATTATTGTAATGCTAGAAGTATAAGAAATAAAATGGATGAATGTAGAGCACTGGTCAGAACAGAGGATTTTTATATAATAGGAATAACTGAAACCTGGTTAAATGTAGATAATTTTGGTGACAGACATTTCTTTGACATGCAAAGTTATAGGTTGATTAATAGGGATAAAAAACTAAAAAAGAGGGAAAAGTGGCTTTTTATGTAAAATGTTAGTTTCAGCCAGTTCAGGTTGAGGATATCAAAGCTAATAGCAATAAGGTTGTATCTGAAATGGATGACAACTGCCTATTGTAAAAAATGTAGAGGATGATGTTTTGAAAGTCTTTCCTCTTCAGCTCCAAGACAAAAGATGGAAGACTTTCACAATGTTATCGTCTACACTTGTGTGTTTTACAACAGGCATTTGCTATCCATTTCAGTTTACTCATCATGAATACTCTGCCTAAATAATCTATCAAAAAGGTTGAATCTATTTGGGCTTATGTTAGCAGTTATAATGGGAAAAGGCTTTGAGTTAGAATTTATTATAAACCACCAGGTGATACAAAGAATTCAACTGTCAATAATTATAAGAGATTTTAATTTCACGCAAATAGACTGGAAAATGTTAGAATAAAATCATGAGGGAGACAGGTTTTTAGAAACTATTCAGGATGGTTTTCTTCAACAATTAGTTAGGGAACCTACTAGGAACAATGCTATTTTTAACTTCTAATAAAGAAATGGTTGATAGGGTAGAGATTCAGGAACATCTCATCTGACTGCAAGTGATCATTGTTCAGTTATGTTTTGCTGCATATGGAAATAAGGAATAATGAGATGTTGGTTCCAAATTTGAAAAGAAAAAATTTTGGAATGATGAGACAAAAATTATATGCTGTAAATTGGACAACTAATTTAGATGGAGAAAGCGATCAAATGTTGAAAAAGATTTTAAATAACATCTTAGATATTCAAGATAGGCATGTTCCATACAGACATGGCGGCAACTAGAAAAACCATGTTGGCCCACAAAAGATATAAAGGATAAATTTAAAGAAAAGCATTATAAATATAATAAGTTTAAATTCAGTGCATTGATGGAAGATATGGAGGACTATAAATGATCAAGAGAGTTGGTCAAACAGGAAATTATGAAATGAAAAAAGATTGGCTGAAGACGTAAAACTTAATAGTAAGAATTTTTCAAATACATTAAGGGTAAGCAGAATGTTAGGATGGGAGTATGGCTTTTGAAGGATGACACCAGAAGGTTAATATCTGATGATTATGGGATGGCTGAGATTTTAGATTCTGCTTTTTCTTCAGTTTTTACCAATGAAGATTCAAGCAATATTCTTCAGTTTTTACTAATGAAGATTCAAGCAATATTCTTCAGTTTTTACTAAT